TGCATGAATTAATAGCGTCGATAGTAAATAAGTAACAGCAGAAAGTTACAGAGGAACTCAGAGAGCAATTCTTTTCTGAAATAAAAAAAGAATTCTCAGAATTCATAGCATCTGAAGTAAAGAAGCAACTACAGAAACATAGGGAGGAAACCCAATCTGAAAAATAAGGAAGGAAGGAAAGAAAAGTCAAGCTTAATATGACACAGAACAAATATAAGTCATGGGATGTGAAGCTTATATAATTTGGGAACTACTGTTAAAAAATAAATTATTAAAATGAGAATTCTCAAAATACTATTGATATTGCAATATATAGGAAAATATTACTATTCATTTATTTCTTCTGTAAAGACCTTTTCCTACAGTGATCGCCTCTTCATATGAAAAAGAAATCATTTTATTTTCATTTAACCAAACAGACAATTTGGTCTTTCCTCAATTATGGCTAATAAAATAATTTTTATTATGTATAGGTTAAAAGATTTTCTTTCAGCTTCAGAACTACTCACTGGTAACAGTGCACTAAAATATCATCCAACATTTTTGTTCAGAAAGTATTCCCAGCCTGAGGACCAACCCCGGGAGAACTATGGGCTTTTATATTTCTAGTTTGCCACACACACTCACAGGTACTGCTTTATAAGACACTCACACTAGCCACATCCTCCATATTGCAAGCAGATCGTGAAGCCTAAGTTACAGTGGCTTCTGAGCAGAGCAGAAAACACTGTCTCCCTTAAATCTTTCAATATGCAGTATCATAACCATTGTTTATTTCCTATTATCTTATTTTGAAATTGTGTATCATTTTCACTATATTATCTTTATAATTTTTAAACATAAAAAAGCTTTCTTATGCGGAGGAGAGGTCCAGATGCTCAACAAGGACCCTAACAATAATCTGTTTCTAAGACCAAATGGACCAAGAAGGAAGAAGTAGCCTCCTATTATGGGGACCAGTAGCCTGAGGACCATTATCAAAACAAATGATCCCAGGAGGAAAGGCACGTCACA